AAAAAAATTAATCTATGGCTGGTCTGTAATGACTTTCGGGACGATGACTGGGGACTTCCGTCGTTAACGGAAGTCCCTCGACTCCGGAGATAAAAAAAAAGCGGAATCCTCCGGAACCCTTTACGAAGGCCAAAAAAAAAAAATTGCAAGGATTTTTTTTGCACAGATCATCAGCGGGCAGGAGCTGCCGCGGCCGCGAGGATCGACGGCGAAGGCCCGCGTCGTGGACCCTTACGTCCTCGTCCAGGTCTTCGGCATCCCTGCCGACTGCACCGGTAACGTCCTTCCCTGATAATTTCTCGAGATAATTCCTTGAGATAATTCCTCAAGATAATTCCTGGAGATAATCCCTCAAACCGTTCCAGATAATCTCTGTGGATAATTGTCTGAAGAAAGCAAAAAAAAAGTGGCTCTTATCGTGAATGCTAAATTAATTAATTTAATTTAATGCGAAAATTAACTAATTTAAAAACAAGATCTCGATGATTAAAGAAACGCAATTAAAGCACTAATCAATTATAATTAATGGAACGGACAGAGCGAAAGACCCGGACGGTGAGCAACGAGGGAAACAACCCGGTGTTCGACGCCACCTTCGAGATCCCCATCCGAGAGCCTCACTTGGCCTTGATTCGATTCGTGGTCCTGGACGACGAGTTCATCGGGGACGACTTCATCGGCCAGTACACGATCCCCTTCGAGTGCTTGCAGACCGGTGAGAATGAGCCGGTTCCCAACTAGACATCGTCCGAAATTTCCTGGAAAATTTTTAAATCGAATTTCCTGGAAATTTTTTTAAATCGAATTTCCTGGAAATTTTTTTAAATCGAATTTCCTGGAAATTTTCAAGTAGAATTTTATTATTATTTTTTTTTATTTTTAATGTCTTTTAATTGCATTTGATGGTCTGAACCAGTCCGAATCTCCTCGAGGCGACTGGGAAATCTCTGAAGCGCTTGCGAAAGACCCTTTCCACGTGTTATTAGTCCAAGTTTATTTTTAAAGATAATTTTCCACGCGCGCTTTTATTTTCAACTAATTATGCAGGAAAAACATTTCCAATTTTTTTTTTTAATCTCAATTTCGCGCTCCAATAGATTTTCAAATTTTAGAAAATAAAATAAAAAATATTATATGAATTTTCCCGCAGGTTACCGCCACGTGCGGCTGCTCTCCGCGACCGGCGAGCAGCTGGAGAACGTGACGCTCTTCGTCCACGTGGCCATCTCCAACCGCCGCGGCGGCGGGGTGAGTTCGAAGGTGACGTCATCTCCGTCGTCTGCTTCGCTCGGTTTGCACGCCGCCTTGCACGAGGAGGAGCAGTGCTCCGTGGAGGACGTCCTT